CAGCGAATCAGCAGACGGAAGACTAACTGTAGCTCCCTTTCTGTCACTCAGCCTTTCAAAGAAGTGAGATAAATGCGTTTGAGATATATGCTTGATTCAATGTTTGCATCTGCTGCCCCAGGCAGTGCCCAGTGTTACCCCTGCAGGGGCTCAGTTTTTTTTTTTTTAAGATTTTTAAAAAATTTTTTTTATTGGAAGGGCGGATATACAGAGAGGAGAGACAGAGAGGAAGATCTTCCGTCCGATGATTCACTCCCCAAGTGAGCGCAATGGCTGATGCTATGCCGATCCGAAGCCAGGAACCTCTTCCGGGTCTCCTACGTGGGTGCAGGGTCCCAAAGCTTTGGGCTGTCCTCGACTGCCTTCCCGGGCCACAGGCAGGGAGCTAGAAGGGAAGTGGGGCTGCCGGGATTAGAACTGGCACCCATATGGGATCCCGGGCATGCAAGGTGAGGACTTTAACCACTGCGCCATCGCACCGGGCCAGGGGCTCAATTCTGAGGGTACACTTCTTGGTTGCCCTAAGTGTACAAGCCATCCCCAAGAGAAATTAGGGGCCAGCATTGTCGCATAAGTGGGTAAAGCCACCTCTGGGACACTGGTATCCAATATGGGTGCTGGCTCAAGGTCCAGCTGCCCTGCTTCCCGTCCAGCTCCCTGTTGCTGTGCCTGGGGAAGCAGCAGAGGACGGCCCAAGGACTTGCGCCCTTTGTGTCCACAACAGAATGGTTAGAGTTCCCAGCTCATCGATTCAGACCAGCCCAGCTCTGGCCACTGCCATGATCTGAGCAGTGAACAAGCAGATCTCCGTCAGCCTTTCCCTATGTAACGCTACCCTTCAAGCAAACGAATCTTTAATTAGAAGTGATTAGGTGGGGCCCGGCGCGGTGGCGCAAGTGGTTAAAGGTCCTCGCCTTGCACGCCCGGGATCCCATATGGGCGCCGGTTCTAATTCTGGCAGCCCCGCTTCCCTTCCAGCTCCCTGCCTGTGGCCTGGGAAAGCAGTCGAGGACAGCCCAAAGCTTTGGGAACCTGCACCCGCGTGGGAGACCCGGAAGAGGCTCCTGGCTTCGGATCGGCATAGTTTCGGCCCGTTGTGCTCACTTGGGGAGTGAATCATCGGACGGAAGATCTTCCTCTCTGTCTCTCCTCTCTGTATATCCGCCTTTCCAATGAAAAAATAATAAAAATAAATCTTTAAAAAAAAAAAAAAAAAGAAGTGATTAGGCATCTGGTCGCAGAATTGTGGACCAAAGAAGAGTCGTATTGGGTTCTTAATCTTTAGGGGAAAGTAGAGAAGAAAATCATGTCACTTAATGGAATTCTGCTCTCTTCACCAGTTAACACCTTGGCACCAGGCAGGAGCGGAGAAATGTGCTGTGTGCCAGGGCATCAGGACAGGGGGCTGGGGCCTGGGTGGAGCTGGGAGGTGGAGAACAGCTGGGAGGAGATAAGGGCAGAAGGTAGCTAAGGACACACCTCTTCTCCCCATCTCACTCCAGACAGCCCTTCCCACCCGAGACTGGGAGGGGACTGGGCAAATGTCTCATGTGATCAGTGAGAACCATTTCTACACGAATATGCCAGAACAGAACCACCCAAAGCCCGGTTCCCCTGCAAGCGCAACTGGAGAAACACAGGAAGCCTTCCCAAGCCCTGCCCGGAACACACGCGGGAATCAGTCCCCGCGAGGCCTCTCCGAGCAAGGCCCACAGCAGGTCATTCTGGAACACAGCTGGACAGGTGTGGTAAAGGCCCCCTGGCTGGGGCCACTCCACAGGGCAATGGCAAAGGGCGTGGAGGCAGAGGTGGGCAGTCTGGTGGTGGGCAAAGAAAAGCACTACCGCAGACACCCCGCTTTTATGTGGTGTGCTTGAAGCCACTCAACGATAGAAACTTAAAAATCGAACATTCCATTTGGGAACTTCACAATAACAATGAATGAAGCAAAAACTTTTTATCAGATGGCAAGTTACAGCGGACTGCAAATAAATTGTGACTAAGGTACTTAGCCTGAAGGTGGAGACACCCTCAGAGCATCGGGGCCTCTGCACCCATGCAGGAGACCAGCAGTCCACTCCCACCTGCAGCAAGGCCCAGGCCACTGCAGGCACTGGGGGAGTGAACCAGCAACTGGGGCTCGCTCTCAAATTTTTAAAAAAAGTAAAAACAAACACTCCAACTGAATTAATATCTTAGGTAGAGGAATTAGAAGTGAAAACCATCCTGCTTCTTAAAACTGTATAGCTTTTAGGGCTCAGTGCGACAGCCTGGTGACTAAATCCTCAGCTTGCACACCCAAGATTTCATACGGGTGCCAGTTCCTGTCTTAGCTGCTCTTCTCCCATCCAGCCCCCTGTTTGTGGCCTGGGAAAGTAGTAGAGGATAGCCCAAAGCCTTGGAACCCTGTGCCTATGTGGGAGACCCACAAGAAGCTCCTGGCTCTGGATCAGCTCAGCTCCAGCTGCTGAGGCCACTCGGGGAGAGAACCAGCAGACAGATCTTTCTGTCCCTCCTTCTCTCTGTATGTCTGCTTTCCAATAAAAATAAATACCTTAAAAATCCTGTATACATGTTTTAGAGGAGCTGGTTTGTTATTGTTGTTTTCATTTTCCTCCCTTCCACTTTTATCTAAATTCTTCCAAAACCAGTTTAGGATGTACTCAGGGGAGTCTGCAGAACCAGCCCAACCATGCTGCTGTGCCTCCAGACCACAGGCCCTATTAGGGGGAGAAGAGGGAGGGAGGGTGCAAGGCAGAGAGCACAGCAGGGGACGGACATTCTCCATGCTCTCTGACAGCTCTCAGCCAAGCCACCGGTTACTATGTAGCAATACTGAGAGGGACCCAACACCCGGAGGGAGCAGCTCACCTCATTCAGACGTTAACATTTTTAAATGGTATAAAAATACAACGAATGTGTTCAGCATCAGAGCTCAAGTTCACCGGGAACACAGCCATCCTAAACTACCTATTCTTTCAATAAACAAACCAAGCGTGCAGAAACAGCCCGGCCTGACTTTGTGAAGTCCAGATGACAACTCAGTTGCAACACAGTATCTACCTGCGTATAGCAGTACAGATCTGCGGGTGAACCCGCCTTTCAAGTTAATTGATTTAGGAAGTTGCTTAGTGTTACAAATGGAAGCAGCAAAACTATTGGCAATTTTTCTACTTTTAATTACTCTAAATTAGACAAGCACAAAGCCTCTCAATGAGGGAGAAACACCACTCCAAAAATCCCTTTGGAGCAAGACGATCAAGTGTAGCCAAGAAGAATCAAACCAAGCTGTGCGATAGCCTTGCCACGGCTGCTCAGCTGCCCTGCCTCAGGCGGGCCCCACTCCCAGCCTGCCATTACCTAGCACTTAGCCTACAGTTAGCTGTCCCCTCGCAGGGCCCCCTCCCCACACTGCAGCATGGAGCCACCGCCATCACCGCCTGCAGTCCTGGAGTGCTCCTGTTCCAAGGGGAACAACCACTAGCCCCTCTTCCCTGAGCCTCCTCTCTGTCTTACTGGACATGGGCGAGGGCTCAACAGGTATTGCTCACTGTGGGTCAAGGTCAAAGGGGACTGCCCGGTGGCTCCTCTGGAGGTGGAGAAGTCAGCCCCAAGCACTCTAACACTGCCGGCTCCGTGACCTTGGCACAGCTTCTGGGCTGTACCAGCTTCGGCACACGCTATTTCGGGGTTTGGGATGCTGCTTCCTGTCCCTTCAGCCTGCAAAGCTGACCACCAGCGGTAAACACTGACAACTTGAACTAGACCAGCAAATAACCACATAACTATCCCCGAAGCCGGCCTTGCTCAGGGAGCCTCACTTTTCCCAGGCCTCCAACTTCAGGAAGGCTGCCAGCCCAAGTGGGGCCTCCCAGGGACCAACCCCAGCCCCCAGGGCCACACCACCCTTCAAACTGCCTCCGGAAAGCTTTCTTAGCAAGTGATATCAGGCAAAAGATACTGCGAATTGATAAGGCCAGGAACTAACTGACCAGAGAGCAGAGCTGGCTCCATCAGGTTAATGGGTGCGACTGGGCTTGGGGCAGCAGATCTGCAGGCCGACAGGCTGTGGAATATGAGCCAGAACGGACCCGCCGGGCCTGCAGCCGCCGGGGACCTGGCGGACAAAGGCGAGCGATGCCCCTTCCCAGGCGGGCTGCCCGGGAAATTTAGGAGCCACGTGCCCGGCGGTCTCAGGCACAGAAGCCATATATAAGACCTGCGCGTTTTCTTGGCCAAGCGAACCAACCACCCTTCCTTTCTGCTTTAAGGGAGCACAATTTTCTAAAAAACGCGTTACTGCTTTAAGTTTTTTTGGAACTTTTCCCAAGCAAGAGGCCCACTACCAAGCAAGGGAGCTCAGCAAATCAACACTTCTCCCCTCTCGCCCCAGTAAATCGCCAAAGGCAATTAGCACTCGGATAAGGGAGCCAGTGTGTTTGGCACACGCAGTTTCGGGGTTCGGGGAGCCGCTTCCCGTCCCTTCAGCCCGCAACGCTGACCAAACTCAGCCTTTCCAGACTTTCCTTCGGGGGAGGGCCCCGGAGAAGTGCTGGCAAAACGGAAAACGAAAGTGGGTGAGCTCCCGTCACCCACAGCTCCTCGGCGCCCCCCCGCCTCCAGGCCGGAGCCCCAAGGCGCCGAGGGTCCCGCCCCGCCCGGACCCCACGGCCACCGTCCCCGCCCGGGCAGCAGCAGGCCGAGCCGCGCGGGCCTCGGGCCTACACGGCGGCGGCTCCGGCCCGGCCTGCTGCCCGGCGCGCACGGCCACGGGCGAGGACGCGGGACCCGGGCGCGCAGGCCGCGCGGGAGCCCCGACGACCACGCGGGGGCCGAGGGCGCCGGGGCCGCGCGTCCCCCCACACGGAGCCCCGGGGGCCGGCCGGGCCCGCCGCCGCGCCCCTCCCGCCCCAGGCCGCGAGCCCCGCGCCCGCCAACCGCCGCGCCGCGGGCAGGAGCGCGCGAGCGGCCGGGCCGGCGCCCCGAGCGCGCGGACTCACCGGGGCCGGCTCCCGAGTACATGGTGGCGCCGCCGAGGGCTCCGGGCCGAGGGGCGGCCGCGCGCGCGCCACGGGCCCCGACGCCGCGAGCCGCGAGCGAGCCGCGGGCCGCACGATCCGCCCCGGCGCCGCCGCCTCGCCGAACAGGTTTCCCCGACGCGGCCGGGGCGGCGGGCGGAGGCGGCGGGGGAGGCGGGCGCAGGGGCAGGGCGGGAGGCGGCGCGAGGGCGGGTCCGCGGCGGCGCGCGGCGCGGGGGGCTCGGCGGGCCGGGAGGGGCGCGCGCGGGGTGCGGGGTGCGGGGCGCCCGCCCGCTGGGCCACGCGTGCCCCCTCGGCGGGAGCGGGCGGCGCTGCCGGTGCCCCCGCCCGGGCCCCGCGCCGGCGCGCGCTGGGACTCCCGAGGCCCTGGCGGCTCCGAGTTGAGTTATTAAAGGAACGCGGAGGTCTGGACGCCGTCTCCGGAGCCGGAGCTTGAACTTGAACGCGTCGTGCCCCTTGCGCGTGGCCACATCGCCACCTGCCGGCATGCCCCATACTTGGGGGAAGACCCCCCCCAAAGAACCGGCGGGCCCGAGCGCGTGTCCGCGGTGGGGCGGCCGGGGCCCTCGGTGCCTTCCCGCGGCCTGCTGGGACGCCCCTCCGGCTGCCCCATCGGGCCTTCCTCAGTTTCCCGCTGATCAGTCTTTAAGGGGCAGCCAGCCAGGGGTCCCATGACAGCGTGAGATGAGAATGGGGTGCAGTCCCGCGAGTGGCCCCTCCGCTTCGCACCCCGGCCTGGGCCCCTGCGACCTGCTGCGCCCACGGGGGCCCGGCCTGCGGTGGGCTGCCCTCCTCTGGGTCCTTTCGCACGCCGGAGCCCCTGAAGCCTGCAGGGTGGGGTGGACGCAGCCCTGCGCATCCGAGCCCAGTGGGGCCTGGCCTGCCGCCTCGGCTGCTGAAGGAGACAGGGTGTGCCATGTGCAGCCCCGCAAAGGGCACTCAGGGCTGAGTCCGCACTGACAGCCTCCCGGAGCTGGCCGTGTCCAAGGACGCAGGCAGGAGCCTGCCTCGAGGTCCCGTGGTGGACACCGCGGGCTGCGCTGGAGCCGCTCCCATCCCCCTGCTGGACCCCAGGAATCAGCAGTATTGGGCCGGGCATGGTGGCCTAGCGGCTAAAGTCCTCGCCTTGAACACGCCAGGATCCCATGTGGGCTCAGGTTCTAATCCCGGCAGCCCCGCTTCCCATCCAGCTCCCTGCCTGTGGCCTGGGAAAGCAGTCGAGGACGGCCCAAAGCCTTGGTACCCTGCACCCACGTGGGAGACCTGGAAGAAGCTCCTGGCTCCTGGCTCTGGATTGGCATAGCACCGGCCGTTGTGACCACTTGGGGAGTGAACTAACGAACGGAAGATCTTCCTCTCTGTATATGACTTTCCAATTAAAAAATAAATTATTTTTTTAAAGGCAGTATTGTCTCTGCTCCTCACAGCTCCTCTTGCCCAGGCGCCCACACACGAGCGAAGGCCGCGCTGTCACCGGGGAGGGACGGGGCTCGGCCTCCCCCGGGCCAGGGCCCCTTTCCCGGAGGCGGAGCCGGACCACGTGTCCCTGAGCCTTCCCTGGAGCCGGGTGCTGGCCGGAGCAGGCTGGCCGGCCCTCGCGGCCGCTCTCTGCCGCCCTCTTCCGGCCCAGCCCTCCCTGCGGCCGCCGCAGGCCCACTGCCAGCAAGGCCGCCCTGCCTTCCCCAGGCGCCTGGTCCTCTAACTGCCGGGAAGGGGGTGCCCCAGGCTGTCACAGGCAGTTCCCATCAAGAATGCTCCAGGAGAGCGGAGAGGCAGGGGGTGGGGCACAGCAGGCACACAGCCTGCTCTGTTCTTGGGGGATACCAAAATCATTGCTTCCCCCGACATTTTCTGCGTGAAACTAAGTGAAATAACTTGAGGAGCACCGGGTCAAGCCACGCCCCACGAAGCTGCTGGCAGGCGGCCACGTGAGCCTCGAGAAACGGGAAGAAAGGAAACAGCTGGCATGCAGCTGTCCCAAAGTCAGGGGGCCGCAGGACCCGTGTCCACCCTGGCGCCTCCGGCTGCGCGGCGCGAGCTGGGAAAAGCAGAGATGGAGCCCTGCCCTGGGCAGCTGAGCCATCTGCATTGTTTTGAATTGAAAACTCAAGAACGTGGTTGCAATATGGCATATATGTCACAGTAAGAACACCCAACGTGGCATGGCAGCCGCTTATTTGAATGAATCCACGGACTAGGCAAGGACTCAGGGCCACCTTGCACAGCTTCAGGGGGCACCAGGGACCCCCGTGGTTCCAAGGGTGCATGGAATCCAGACCCAGAATGCAATGTTTGCTTTGGGACTTGTCCACAGCCAGCGTGTCACTGCTGTCAACTCACCACAAATGCCAGTTTTAAATTTAAAACAGAAAACTAAGACTTTGGGGGGGGGGGGGCTGCGAATCAGATTGTCAGGACCTAGGCTAGGCACAATCCATGAAGGGAACACGGACCCGTGAACTACCTGCCACCTGCCACGTCTTCTAGGAGTGGACTCCAAAAGTGGCAAGCCCGGAGAAAGCAGAGGGATGTGAACCTGGGACCTAAGCACATCCTCAGAGGAGGACAGCAGAAGTGGACAAGGGAGCAAGGGCACAGGTGCAGGGCAGCCCAGGGGACGTGGCCAGAAGCAGCCGGGAGAGGCAGCAGCCCTGAGCGCAGGGACACAGGCAGCCACATCCTGAAAGGCTGGACTATGCAGTGGCAGCATCGGGCTGACATGACACAGAGAGCCGCACCAGCGACCACCAGGCTGCTGCTGGGGCGGGGCACACCACAGCCGCCCCAGGAAGGAGCCTTGCGTCCCGTCTGACCACACGTCCACCTCCCCCACGACACAGCCACTGCACTCCTGAACATTCGCCTCAACACGTGAAACTGCACACGGGCATTGCTTTTAAAAGCTTATTTAAGGGGGAACATAATAATAATAATAAGTTCAAGGGGCCATGTCACCACCCTGTGGTGCCAGCATCCCATGTGGGCACTGATTCCTGTCCTGGCTGCTCCACTTCCCGTCCTGCCCATGCTTACAGCCTGGGAGAGCAGTGGAGGACAGCCCAGGGCCTTGGACCCCTGCACTCTGGTGGGAGACCCAGAAGAAGCTCCTGGCACCCAGCTTTGGATCAGCTCAGCTCTGGTCATTGTAGACATTTGAACAGTAAACCAGCAGATGAAAGATCTCTCTCTCGCTCTCTCCTTCGCTTTCTCATCACTCGATAGAAATCTGCCTTTCAAATAAAAATAAATCTTTTTTAAAAAACACTTAGGTGAAAAGCAGAGAAACACATACAGAAAGCGTGCATCCCATTCTCAGCCAGGACTGGGCTAGACCAAAGCCAGGAGCCTGGAACTCTACTGGTCTCTCGCGTGGTGGCCGGCATCCAGGCACTTGGGCCCTCTGCTACTGCCTGCCAGAGGCATGAACAGGAATCTGAGCTGGGAGAGAAGTGGCCAGAACTTGAACTTGTACCCTGTTACGCGATGCTGGCATTGCAAGCAGCAGCTTAATCAGCAGCACCACAATAGCAACCACCTGTGAACATTTACGGCTTTATTCAGTCTACAAGATCCAGAACAACCAGCTGTCCTGCAGGTGGCGCTGCAGACAAGGTGCACCAGGTGAGAGGAGGGAGCGACATACACAGCCCCCCGAAAACCCTGGGCAGTGGGAAAAGCCAGGCAAAAGGCCGCACAGCCTCTGTACCATCATGCAACACTCTGGAGAGACCAAAATTACACAGAGAGGCGAGCAGGGGACAGAAGAGAAGTGGGTGTGGCTGCGGAGGGAGCATGGAGGGAGCCCGGTGAGGGAGGCAAGTCCGCCTGTCCCCACACCCGTGTGCTGGTGGCAACAGCGAGCTGGAGATACCTGGGTGGTGTCCCAGAAGGTCTCTCTGTGCGGTCCTCCAGCTGCAGGGCCATCTACAGGGACCACAACACAGAGCAGCCCCTCTGGTGGCAGTGCCCAACCTTGCAAGGCACTCTGGCTAGATGCATGCGGACAGCTTGCAGGCAATGGCTCCCCGACCCTGTAAGGCCTCTCACCTTGCACCAGTGCCCAGAGCATTCATGCATTACTGAGAGTTAAGACATTAGCCAAACTCTGGCCCTCTCACCACTGCCACAGATCACAGCCCCAGGCGCTGGCTGCTGGAAGGAACTCGCTGTGTGTCACCCATAAGGAGGCATTGTGCCACCAATGCTTGGCCTCATGTGAGTAGGGGGCGCCGTTCTGCCATCACAGTGTCAGAAGGGACACTGTGGATGTGCCCTGGCACCACACGGGGTGTGAATTGGGGCTAAATGGCAGCGAGCAGCCTGGCCCTCCAAGCGGGGCACCCTGGGAAAGCTGCCCAGTGCTGTGCAGAGGGGGCCGGTCCGTCCCACTGCAGGGAGGCTCGGGGCCAGGCATTCGGGATGCTCTTGGTGACAGGCAAGCAAGGAAGCAAAACCGCTTTGCACCTGCACTGAGCTCAGCCACAGAGGGGGAAGGGAGTCCTTCAGCATCTGTTGGCCTAGGGCTTTCTGGCAAGATGGGTTAAGATGCTGTTTGCCCTGCCAGCACAGAATATGAACAAGTGTTAAATTCTAACTCCTTTGTGTCATTTTTACTGTCATTCTTACCATCATGTACAATGTTTCTTTGAAATAATCTGATACATTTTTTAGCAAGGTGTTTGGCTGTAAGGTCAAAAGTTTCTTTTTTAAAGATGTATTTATTTACAGTGCTGGTGCCATGGCATGATGGTTAAGCTGCCACCTACATGCTGGCATCCCGTGTGGGCTCTGGTTGGAGTCCCGACTGCTCCACTTCTGATTCCAGCTCCACACTGGTGCACCTGGGAAAGCAGCAGAGGATGGCCCAACTGCTTGGGGCACTGCACCAATGTGGGAGACCCGAAAGGGCTTCCTGGCTCTTGGCTCTGGCCTGGTGCAGCCCGGCCCCAAACACTGTGGCCATCTGAAGAGTGAACCAATAGGTGGGAGTCTCTCCAATTCTGCCTTTCAAACAAACAAAATAATTTTTTTGTAATGCAGAAT